AAGTTACGTATAATATTAATGCAAAAGTACGGTTATTTTTAACTATCTATTATTTCATATTAGCGCTCAGAAATAGTTTTTTTCCTGTCCTTAGGGTGGTTCATAAATATAATTTATAGTATTGTGATATAAAACAGAGATATCGTATTCAATATTATTAAAGTAATATAAAGAGCTCGTTTCGCGCAAAATGAACCTACGAAAAAAGGTTGTCGAGTTGAAATCGCGTAGAAAAACATGTTCCTGAGCGAATGACGGGAGTCGTAATGAGATAATTTATTATTGGCTTATCTGGAACAATGTACTCAATGCTTTTTATACTTTTTGTTTATTCCTTAGTAGATTTAGCAAAAGGTTTTCTCGGTAAGAAAAGTTTGTTTTCGTTACCAGCTACGACCCCTATAATAATTACCTATTACAATACCATTGAAAAAGTAGAGGGGTACCACGGCTCATTTAATAATTTGACTTACCGCCTTTCAAGCGGAGACCGTGTCAAAATTTATGTGCCAAATAAATAAATAATATGGAATCATGAGCTTTTCGGTGAAGGAAAACATCGTGAGGAAACCTGCATATCGAAGAATGTTCTGAACCCTCGGAAAACATGTGAAGTCCCCAATCATGAAGGCTCTGAGTGACACTGCAACTGTTATGGACAGACGTGCAGCACCTTCAGGCGCACGACTTGTTCGTCCCGTCACTTCATGTTATAAAAAAAATGCGGACACAAAACATTTTTTGACGCTTAATGCGATTCCGTGTCTGCAAATAAGGTGACTCCTTAAGACGATCTAATACCCATATAGGGGAAAGGTTTATAACTATTAGTAGGTTTAGTAGCAGTAGAGCTCCTTGTGCAAGAGTTCATCCAGGAAAGTACTGCCACTATACCTATTTCTTATTTCTGGCTCTGGTGCTGGTGAAATTACAGGCACATGGAATTTGTCAAGTTATGTTTCAGGGTAACGGGCGCCACTGCGCCTTTCATATTTTTTTTTATGAAAACTACGTGCGCATTTGACCTCCATCTCACCTGATGGAAAGTGATGATGAGGTCGACTATGTAGCATGCACAGCTAAATATGCCTATTCACTCTCGCCTTGAAAAGGTCCAAGTTATACCGTTCGGAAAACAAGTCCGCAGGTAGGGAATTCCACTCTCTAGCCGCTCGCCTCATAAATGTGGAAGCAAACCGCCTCGTGCGAATCCTGGGAATATCCACAACTTAGAGGTGGAATCCCAGCCCGCGTCTAGTCCCCCGATGATAGATCTACGCGATTGCTCTGAGTGGTACTGGAACTGCTATGAACTGGCGTGTCGCGTGCCACCAGGAGCACGACTTATTTGTTTCTTCACTTGGTATAAAAAAACCTTGTTTGAAAGAAATCGGCAACTTGATTTCTAAATATAATTGTAGTAACATGTGTTTGTATAACTTATAAACCTTATCAGTGCCTCTAGCATGAGTTTTCTGTAACAGTTGTCGCTAGCGACAGCGTAAACTAGTTTACAATTTTGCACCCTTCATGGAAGAATGGCATACGTGGAGTCAAACATGTTTATTGCTCTATTAGATACAGAAAAATATAAGCCACATCTTCTTCAATACTTTTAACTCAAGCGAGAGTAACAGAGCAATAAACGTTTTTATCGTAACTCCACTATGGCAAATTATACAGCGGCCACAAGAAGAAACAACATTTTGTATACAAATATTTTACGCTGTCGTTAGCGATAACTGGCACCGTAATCTAATGGTACAGAGGCACCGGCCTTACTTTGTTGAGATGTGTCTCAAAGTCAAAGAATAATTTATTCCATAGGTAAAATAAATTTTCACTTGAAAACAGACTGACTTCTCTGAGAACTAGCAAGAAACTCTAGGGATCGCTATTTTCAAATAAACTCAAATGCTATGGAATACACTTTGAATACAATTTGTGTGGAATTTGAAGCCATGTCGACTTTCCATACATCTTTATCTAACACGTAGTCTTCAATTTTGTAATATGACTTTTCAATCAAAGTATTTTTAATGTTGTTTTTAAACTTAGAAAATGATAATGTTAATATATGCTCCGGAATCTTATTGTAAAAACGTATACAGTTCCTCATAAAAGAGAACTTAGTTAAACGAGATTGTGGTACCATGAGTGCAAACTCATGGTACCACAACTAGGTACAGGACTTAGCTCTAAGGTTAATATGGATATCTTCTTTCTTGTTGAAGTTATGTATATTTTTACGGGCTTATAAAATATTTGATAAAGTTTGACGAAACATACCTAAAATACTTTCTTCAGATTGCAAGTGAATTTCACTCTTCTAATTGAGAATTATTTTACTTCCGTATCGCACTTATGTAGCTCACTGTATTGGACGAATTCAATAGAGTAAATAAATTGCGGTTCTTATTGTCCCATTGGTTCCAGACGCAACATTTATATTTTATACGTAGATACCGATTTAGGAACCTAATGTATCTAAATCGAATAATAAATCAATTTCGGCCTTATTCGATAAATAAGGAAATTAATTAATATTGAAATGGGTAACAATCGCGGAAACCTAACATGTAGATTTAGGTGGTAACAAGATAATTGATAAAAAAAATGATTAAAGCTTTAGCGTAAGCTCTCCTCTTATACAACTTTTATAACTCTTTTATAAATATTTAAATCGTTTTACATAAAAAGCTATCATGGTTGCGGCGGTCAGAACTTTCGAACCGTATAATTAGGTACTTTGGGATCATCAAACATTTTCCTGATTCGTAATTGGTTGAATTCTTTCACAAATAGGATGAAGTTTAGTTAGTCTTACTGAAACGCACATACGTCAATAATTGCATAACTTCAATATTATAATTTCGAACTTGAAACTTTCTGTAGATTTAATTGATCCGCTTTTTCGATTGCTTATTTGAAAATTTTTATATTAAATATTAGACAACATCACATATGTTGTTTTGATCCTAAATTAATTAACTAAAGCACTTGTGTTATGGAAACCAGAAACAACGACGACGACAACTACCAGAAGTACCCAGACCCGAGACAAGTTAGTTTCTACATTGACCCGGCCGGGGATCGAACCCAGAACCTCAGAGACAGCGGCACCATGAAAACCGGCGTGCAAACCACTCGACCACGGAGGTCGTTATATCATTCTTCATATTTCGTTGGATTTAATAATAAACAACAAGATAAACGTTTTAATTAATTTATTTACATCTTTGGTAAGTACAATGGCTTATTAAGGGTTATACACATAACCCAGTACATTTGGTCTTTGGTACTTACTTTTTGGTGTTCATCTTACAGGATAGAGTTAGATACATTGTCGTTGACATGATATTTTTATATTTAAGACAAACCTAAATACTTACTTGTAAATGTATGTAACTCTTAGAAAAACATTTCTTATAAAAGCGAAACAGTTTTACAGATATTATCATCCTAAGTGTAAAGGATCTATGAGATTCAATTTGATTTTCATGTTAGGAAGTTTGTGGACATTAAAGTGTAGAATATACTTAGTTTAGTATATTATGAATTTTTTTACGATAGACTCAAGTTTTTCACATTATTTACTTAATTATACAACTGTAGTTTCGTTTAGTATTTATATACGTGTATATATTAGTTATTTACAGTTACCAGTCTGACCATTACTTAAATAAAATTAATATAGTAAAATAAAATAAGTCTAAATTCTATTTCCGTAATAAACATTATAGGTACACGCTGAGAAACAAAACGTTTTTTGGAAAACTCCGGTTACAACGTTTTAACCTCTACTTTTATTTATATAAAGAGTACAAAACATTTATTTTATATCTCTAACAACGATACCTTAAGTTAATTATTATTTTTGCCAAAAACGTGACTCGTATTAATCGTTTACAATTTTTATGTAGGATTCTTCTTCTTATAGTATTGATGTCGTACACTATACCATTGTGGCCCAGAACTCAGCCGTGTCAATCGCGTCTCTAGTAGCCGCCGTTACACCATCAAGCGTGCAGTAGAGAGCGACATAAAGCGCGGATACTGACTGCTTGCTATTCTCGCATAGAGATCTCGCGCTAGTCGTGCCGTACCGTGTTAGCCATACAGGTGTTAGGGTAAGCAGGGAACGATGTGTGATGGGTCATCATTTGAATCGCACCACAAACAATCAGGTTAGAACCATCGTAAAATCCCCACTTGAACAAATTATCCTTACTCCGACCAACCTGAGTCCGAAGCCTATATAGAGATTTGTATGTAAGATTAATTTTTATTATTACACATTATGTGATATATTATTGTTATTGAATTTGTAATATCCTCCTTGGACTTCATAATTATTTATATAATTTTATTTCCTTGTAGATACAACTAACTTGGGTGTTATTATTGTTATTGGCATATTTCTGTTTTGGACAGGAATTTAATGTAACAATTTACTGTTTGTCACAGTTTCACTGTTGATCAACATTGCTCTGGTTTTTAAAATTTATATTTGGAACTTCTTAAATTACACAATTCTTCTATACATTCTATGTATTAATACTAGTTTCCCCCACATTAATATGTCTACGTAGTTTCTTTGAATTTCAAATCAAACTCGTTTGAACTATTTTCAAAAACAGCACCTATTCGTATTTCAATCGACATTGCCTCAACACATTTGTATGTCTTTGACATCTCTATCTATGATAGTATCACACGTTGATATTGTACACATTGTACAAAGTAATTATACTATACACTTTATTGTTTCATCATCAATAATAAATCTTAAAAGATTATTAAAATTATATTCTCACAAAGATCAGTTTTATAAAAAAGCTGCAATTTACGTTTGTTAGGTTTTATAAATGTATGTAGCATTTTGTTTATGTTACATTGTTGTATTTTAACATATTATTACCTAACTAGTTTAAATACATTTTCTACTGGGCTTAATTATGTTAATAATAAGTTATGGAATGTACAACATTTACTTGTAGTGCATACATTTAAATACAATTGTACATAATGTTTTTATAAAGATAGTTTATACTGTTTGTGCACAACATTTTTTTATAATATTTTGTAATTTTTATAATATCTTTGTTTCAATGTATGTTAACTCTATTATATCCTATAATTTTTATATCGACTGTATATTTTCAGGTTTCATTCCTATCAATTTACTCATGCTCCAAGGTGTCTCATAATCGCGAACAACATTCTAAAATTGAACTCTCCACATCCATACATTTTCCTTGGAATCACACTAGTTAAATGAATGTTTTCAAGCATTCTCTTGTTGATGCCTTTCAATCTGACCAATGTCATCATGTCCAAAACCTACATGTGTTCCAAGATTTCGGTAGAAATACCTTTCTGTACGCTTTTCTATATTCTTGCGACAGAACCACATAAATAACGGGGTTAATACACGTCGTGAAAAACCTTAAAATGTAACTCCACAAATACGCTGATGGGGATGTCGCTGAGACTGCTGTCGAAACTTTTATTATCGTTATTGGTAAATGACAAATAAAGAACGAGATCATGATTGCAGTGATCATTGACAATAATCTTTTGTCTTTTGCTGTTGGTTTCATTTTTGTTGTTACGTGTAATTTTGTTAAGTACATTGAATGCCGGATATTTTGAGCAATTGAAGCCATACTGCCTTTTGGGTAGGTTCGACTTGGCTTTTTTTCGGGTGTCGTTTGAGGATTGGAGGCGTGTGTGCGTAAAGATTCAACTCGAGGGTGTCCCGATGGAACACATCGATCGGTTTCATTGTCACTTTGATTCGATTTATCCACAGCCGTCGAGGTTTCGAAAGATGAATCGTCTATAACACTTCTACGGTTATTCTGAACATTACCACGAGATTTCTTGGATGCCTTCTTTACGATGCAGAATATTCTTGCGTAGCATACAATTATTGTCAGGCAAGGTATCACGAAAGCGAGAAGAAATAACATTGTCATTGGTGATGATCCGTTTCGGTCTGGTACTATATCGCATAGGTATGTATTAGGGTTCATGCCGAAACAGCCCCATGCTTCCACCCAAGTTGGTATAAGTGATGTCCATGATACTATCCAGATGCAAACTATCATAATTATTAGGTTTCTTGTGGTGTATAACCTATGAAAAGATAAAAGCAGAGACGTTAAAGTTAAGACGTTAAAGTTGATTCCAACAATAATATTTAAAATGTTCTTATAAAAGAAGGATGGCGAAAGCTGACCCAATAATTATAAAATCAACGAACAGCCGTTTATGGTCTTTGCTAATGTAATTTTATGTTTTAATTCATCCTAGTTAGTTATGTTTTTGTATACTTTTAGAAATCGGGAATAAAGAAATTGTAAAACAATGTATTTTAGAATAAATGTAAGAACACAACGCAATGGATTCAGTTCGACTATAGATTATGTAACATTCTTGTACGTACGTTTCATTTTAAGCATGATTGAATGTTTACCTACCTAAAGTTTTGGTTATTTTATAGTACACACATAAAACATTAAAGCTTTATAATAACTAATCAAATAATCAATTAAACGGTAATGAAGGAAAAAATAAAACACAAAGTGACAAACATGTTTAGACAATATTTAAATGAGATATAAGCAAGTTAGCAAAGGAACGTTTTGACAAGAGGCCTCTTGCCAATGTCAATGTCATATTAAGATTGAGAACAGTGTGACCATTTGTGGCAGATATCTGCCATTTGGGCAGATTTAATTTTTTATTCATTTTCATTAAGCAGAACATGTTAACGTTGTATTAAAAGTAGCAGACTTTGGCAGATTTGGAAATACTTAGCAAGCTCTTTATTATTTTTGGGAACAAACTGAAAGCTTGTTGTTTTCTGCTGCTACGAACAAACATCTGAAGTGAAATACAAGACAATGTTATATACATTATAATGTGTGTGTGTATATATACACACATTTTTATAACCTACATCAACTCTATAACCCCAGCTTCTACAGGCTGTACTGAATTAGCTTTTTTGATGCTTTGATAATGAATCATAAGTATTGACAAGCCTTTTTAATGCACGTTGTCAAAAACACTGGGTTACAAAATAACTGCTCACGCGATACATGCAGCCGTAGACACATACCACACCTAGAGGTGCCGGTGATGATTTTATACCGATTTATCGGATATCGAAGTTATAACAGGTAAAAGAACTAATATTAATTGCTATTTCGGTAACTACTCTAGCAAACCATAAAGTTTTTAATGCCTGGGTCTGTCATTTAAAAAAAATAAACAACTTCAAAAATACGTCACGACAATCGTGTGTGTTATTGTTTGGGCTGCTGATTTCGGTGTTTATTTATTGGAAACATATCGTTAGTAGCGTTTTTTAAGTTTACCCTGAATATAAATGTTTATAAACTATACTTTAAGGAGTAATTTCATGGTAAACGTTAGAACCACTCAAACGGAATATTATCATATTTATCCAAGTACACCAAAAATTTCATTAGTGCTTTTTAAGTGCAGGATTTGCGGTGTATTACTGCATTTTATTTGAGATGTTTTTGTTGGTATTACGGAGGGCATTTATTTAGCAATGCAGAATAATAATTTTTATTAATAAAAACTTGTATTTAAACTGAATGCTTTTCTAATTTGCGAAACCAAATAGCCGCCATTTTGCGATAGGAGGAGCCCATCGCGTGAGCGGATGAACGAGATGTCGCCATATTTCTTTTATGAGATGAAATTAAAATTAACTATCGAGATTATTATGAAAAGAACTTACCTGGGATAAAGTCTAGGATGTGAGATCATAATATATCTGTTGATAGTGATAGCCACAACAGAGAAGAGGGACACCGCAGCCAAAGCATATCTTGAAGACGGGAATATCTGGCAGAGAAGTCTTCCATGAGGCCACAACTGCGTCCAAAAGGTAGAAGCCGCGAGGGGCAGATTGAAGCAGCAGTTCAAGAAGTCAGAGATCGATAGGTTTATGATGAAAATCGCTGTTGCATTACGGACCTACGAATGAAAACAAAGGTTACTTGGTGGTTTCGTTGAAATAATATAATTGACTTCCTTACAGAGTTTGTCTATGAAATTAAGTTGAGTATTAATAAATAAGCCGTGGTTTCCTAATAATTTGACCTACCATCTCTCAAGCGGAGACCGTGGGTTCGAATCCGGGCTCGCAACTCTGAGTTTCACGTAATTTTTGTGCAAAATCTAATTTCAAATTTTTTTGAGCTTTTCGGTGAACGAAAATATCGTGATGAAAATGGCATGTCGAAGAAGGTTCACAACCCTTGGAAAACGTGTGAAATCTCCAACCCGTATTGGGCCAGAGTGGCGGACTATGGCCTAAATTCTCACTTGAGAGGACTTTGACGGTCTCCTCTCCTCTCTCACATACAAATGAGTTAATCGTGATCATGATTAATAAAAATACAGATCATAATGGTGTATATAAAATGCCACATCCAATTGAGAAGGTTAATTTAGAAGAAATAGAAAACTTTCTATTGCTCGACAATTTATGTTACATATAACACTCGTAGGTACTCTGATACCTGATTTACGCACGTACATACATATGTGCATACCCGCACATAGAGTCACGAATGTTAGTGAGCGATGAAATCATTTTACATATCAGGTTATGAACTCCGGCCCTCCGTTTCACGGCCAATTAGCTTAATTTCTCTGATTTCATGAAATATGATACGATCCATGGATTATTGTACGCTTAATGAATTAGCTTTTGTTTTTTTAGGACGAATTCCACTTTTTGTAGTCATTACCTATGCAGAATATTAATGTTTTACAATGGTTTGTTGAGTGTTGCGCTAAGGAACCTACGCGAAATATGAATTTATATATACCTATACAGATAGATTTTCTGATCACGTATGTGAAAAGAAAAAGAAATACAAGTTTTATACGACCACTAACAGTTGTCCGCGACTTCCTCCACTTCATTTTTCTTCCATGCAATTAACCATCAAATCAAAAAACAAGTTCAAAATATTCAAGTTTATGTAATGTAATGAATATGATTTTCTATACAAAAGGTATTTAGTAAAATTACCTCTTTTTAGGGATTGTTTTGAAAAAACCTTGAAACACGTGTTTGTTTATTTTGTATTTAAAGTCTCCAAACCAAATTTAAAGCAAATTGCACCACGCGTTAAAAACTACCCATACAAACTTTAATACCCCATTTCACCTTTATTTAGGAGTAATTTTGAAAAAAATGTCATGCAATCTTTTACCATTTACATTGTAGAATATTTATACTAAGTTTCATTTGCAAAGCTGGTAAAGCAAAGTTCAAGGAAGTCGATTTTTCATATAAACTTCATTACCCTTTTTCACCCTTTTAGGAGTTGAATTTCGAAAAATACCTTCTTAGTACCTACATTAAATAAAATAATCTGCCTTCGAGTTTTCATGTTTCTAGGACTTGTGATTTTTGCTGTGCGCACATCTACCGGTGAATTGCTCAGGAACTCTACTCCTTTATGTATATATACATTAATAAAGGCATTGTATGTATTTAAATGATCTTTTTAAATTTGCAAAAGTAGCAGGCAAAAAATGTGAACGGTCATCTTTTTTAATGATTACTCGTCTTTCTCTGAGACATAAAATAAACTAAATAGATCCATATTTTAATCTGTTCTGAGCTACGCAAAAAAGGTTTGATTTGTGTAAATTAACTTTGATAGTTTTATGTTGGGCCTCGAAATTAACACAAATGAATATTAAAAATAAAATTTGGATAGGTACTTATTTTTAAAATTAAGTAAATGTTGATTGTATTTGTGTACCAAAATTGTATTAATTATAATATAATTTGACCCGAAAACATGTCTGGAAACGCAAGCAAATTGGCTTCAGGCGCAAGGCGGTTACTGCTCCGACACGCTCGCTTCGCTCACTTGGCTCGTGCTGCTTTTTCATATACTAACCTATCCTAACCTACTGAATGGAGGGTGCAATCGAGCCACCAAGATTTATCAGGACATCAATATCAAAAGATATACTGATTATAAATGTAATCGATCGTTACAAGAAAAGACAAAAAAAAGAGGATCAAATATTATTATTGAATACCAAATATTAATTTAGTATGCATAAACATAATAGTAGTGTTACCTTGAATGCAGTTCATTTATAATTTATCCGTAGATCAACTACTATAGATGGAACAATTAAATATATAATATCGAACTGAAATAAAAATCATTTATTTAATATCTTTGATGATCAAATATATCCCATAAATAAATCGTTCTACGGTGTGGTATAAAACTAAAAGATATAAAATGCAAGTGATAAGTTATGGGTTTTGTACCAAACGCAAAATAAGCGCCTGGACATCGAGTTGCGGACAACAGCCCGTTACACCACAACATCATATGGGTTTTCTATTGACGTACTTTACATATTTTGCGATAGAATTGTTTACGTCAACCTCCTTATTACTGGGGTTTTCCCTCTGTGGGACTTAAGCTGTCACTAACTGCATACATACGCATTATTGTATACGTACACGTAATGTCCATACTCACTATGAGGGTGTTAATTTAATATTTTAGTTTTACGACAGACCCCATCAAATGCTGTACCCAATTCAAAATTTACCAACAAAGTATTCAGATTTCATGTAGAGATAAAATAACAGATAATTTTTTATCAATACAAAGATTGAACAAACAAAAACAGCGTCTGTGGCCGGACGGTTCTGCCACTCAGAGGTCCCGGGCTGGATTCCCGGGCCAGGAGAAATATTTGAATGGCCTACCGGGAGAAATATTTGGTTGTATTCTGTTGTCTATGTTGTGTCCATGGCACCAGCGATACAGGGTATCCCTAGTGCGGGGCTATGATTGTGTGATTGTTATTATTACAAAGAAAAATTCGTCCCATCGGACTGGATTCGAACCATGATCTGTTGCCTCAACGTGGCGACCGCTCTTATCAAGTGTGCTACGGATCGAGGCAGGAGAAGTTATAAATTTCTCTTTTTTGCCCTAGCGCCACTTGTGAGGAGTTATGAAAGTTTCTTCACCCAGTCAGGTACTTTTACAGCTACCAGGAGACTGACAGTGTTAACTGCAATATTTTTTTATATTGAATACGTATTGTGATGTTTTATAATATCATGTTTTTATTTTTATTTAGTACGAAAAACATCATTATGTTTAATAAAAATAAATATGCCAAAGAAATTTGTTAACAAAAAGTAATATTAAATTTTTTAATTTCTAAACCTCAGATGTAGCAAATTCAATCCAATCCATAGAACTTCTATTTGTCCTCAGACACATTAATTTCGAATAATTTTCAATGTTATATATATCACCATCGTCATCAACAATCCATTTATACGTCCCACTGCTGTGCACGGGTCCCCTCTGACGAGGGTTTAGGCCATAGTCCACCACACTGGCCCAATGCGGGTTAGGGACTTCACGCGTTTTCCGAGGGTTGTCAACATTCTTCGATGTGCAGGTTTTATCATATAGAAAGAGGTCATGGTAAAGTTTTAATTAAATTTCGTACGTAAATTCCGAGAAACTCAGAGGTGCGAGCCTAGATTCGAACCCACTCTGCTTAAGAGGCGGTAGGTCAAACCATGAGGTTGCCACGGCTTATACAGCACATACCTTACACATACATATATAAATAATGTAAACGTTGCATAAAAATAAACACAAACAAAAAATATCTCACCTTTTTACATCTAGCCAGCGCGAAGATTGTGACAAGGTTGCCAGGGATGCCAATCACCATGAACAGCATGCAGCATACTGCTGTGAACTGCAGCATTGGTTTAGGATATCCTTCAAACAGCTGCAAAGACCCCAGCTGTTCATCGGTATACCTTTCAGCCATATTTGACAAGCCACTTGTATTTGCGTGATTACCAATTACACTAAAATTAGATTTTCCAATTGTTGTAGACATGGTGCATTTAGAAATCTAAGTTTTGTAATTACAAAGAACCTTCCGTTATGTGGTACGAATTCAGACTGATATAATGTTGTGATTTTTCCTTATAATGAAACTAATGCGGTCGTGGACAACCCTGTTTGATATTAGTACGTACTGTTGACGACATTACTTGTATTGCATGTAAAAGTCTTATTAAACGACAATAGGAATACAAAACAATTTTAAAGTAATTTTCACTCTGACTGTACAAATGTACAATCAGAGTGTTGACCGCAATGCTTCGCGTAAATTTTACATTACCTTACTAAACATTATTGCTTTCTAACATTTATTGTTCCATCTTCTTTTTATTGCTAAGCGCGATAAAACATTGTTTTACAGATCGCAGGCGAAATAATTTACATATTAAAATATGACTTATAGAAAGAAAATTTAACGAATGAAACATCGTTTAAGTGCTTGAAAATGAATAAATGATTTGTAAGGAGCGATAGTTCCCGACAGAACGTTGTTATGTATAAACACATAAATGAACACTTTATATTCTCTGCATATTTCATGTTTTATATAAATGTTGCAGATTCCGTCCAAAATCTTTTTCCATAAGTCGATTTTAACATGAAATGTAATCGTAATATATATATATATATATATGTAAAACTATATCATAAAATTAATATGTGGGTAAAATTCGCTTGACATTACCAGCATCGGTATCAATAAGTAATACTTAAAACAATGAATAATATGTAGCTATGGCCTTAAATAAATTACACTCAGATAGTATTTCACAATACACAATGTGACATATAGTTAGACATAAATAGTTATGAATAACTGACGATATCTATGTACGCGTAAATAACATACCACATATTGTATCGAACGTGTTATTTTACAATTGTAACCTTGAAAAGACAATTTACTCCTATTATTTACAATGGAATTCTCCTTGAGGAATACCATTAAAAATTACTTTAAAACATTCCCATTCGTTCCATTAGCACGATCACGGACGGCTCGCAATTCTAACCAAAGTACATACCTAACAGACAACACATAAAAATCACGGAGGTTATATGAGTATTGTAGTTCATAGAAAGTCTGGTGATTTTTTAACGAGGGTGTTTTTATGTTCACCCATTGATGTATAGTCACGGCGGGCGCTTCTCCGAGACACCATCGCCGGACGAACGTCACGCCCATCGCCGACACATCAGCAGATTCTTGTAAGCCTGCCGGTATTCACTGGACATCACAACATAAATAATCGGATTGATACACGTTGTCAGGTAAATCAACAAATATCCTGCAATATTAGCTACAGGGTTAGATGTGAAGTTCCTAAATAGCTTCGTCAACGTAATGGGCAGGTAGCAAACCCAAAACGAGAGCATTATAGCCATTATCATCTTTAGCAGTTTTCTGTCTTTATGAGTGAGTCGCGGAGGTTTTACCGATGCAGGAGACCGGCGTAGGACAACAGCAGCTTGTTTCAATCTCTTAGCTGTTTCCACACCACTTGGAATTCGTGATTTTGCATCCAATGCTGATTCTTCATCATGGCCATCAAGAGTGTCCACGCCAGAGGAGGAGGATCGTTCAGGGCCCGGAGTCGGTGGGCAATGTAAAGCAGGTGGAGCTAGTAGATTTCTTTTTGGTTTCACAACATGCGTTAATCCGTTTTCTGGTCCAGGAGAGCGTTCCAGAGCAGTGGATGCTGATCCTACAGCTGAATCTTCTAGTCCGGGCCGGCCTCTGCCTCTGGCAGGTGCACGAGATTTTCTAGCGGCTTCTCTAACTATGCAAAATATCCTGGCATAGCATATGACTATTGCTAAGCATGGAAGCATAAACGCACCGACAAATAAGAATTCCTTGGGGGATCTATTGTTTTTGTCGGGAAGGATGGAACAAGAGCCGATAGTTGGATCTAATCCGAAACGACCCCACTTTTCTAAGAACGTAGCCACTAGCGCGCCGAACGAGAAGATCCACGTGCTAGCCACCATAATGGCTAAGTATTGGCGTTTGTATAATCTGTGAAAGAAGATTTTATAGGTCAATGTTACCAAAGTAGTTGGTCTTGTTATTATAATTATTGCGTGAGTAGTAGAGTAGTTTTTTGTATTTCTAAGGATTTATTTACAAGTATGTAGTAGGCAAGAAAACTTACTTTGGATAGATGCGAGGATGTGAGATCATAACGTATCTATTAATCGTGATGGCGAGTACAGTGAATAGTGAGACAGCAACAAGCGCATATCTGGCCAGAGGGAACATGCGACACAGCGTCCTTCCATGAGTCCAGGAGCGGCTCCAGAAGGTCGATGCAGCCAGTGGCAAGTTAAAACAGCAGAACAGGAGATCCGAACAGGACAGATTCATTATGAATACTGCTGTCGCGTTGCGTACCTAGAAAGGTTAATCAGTGTTTTAGTAACATGAACGTTATTTTTTAACGCTACCTAGTGACGGCATGAACAAGTCGTGCGCATGTTGTTGAGCGGCACGCATGTCCATAGCAGTTGCAGTGCCAATCAGAGCTTTAATCGCAAAGATCTGAGGTACACTGCCACTGCGTCTGTCACTCTCAGACTAAGTTGACAAGTTTCATGTGCTTGCCAGCACCCTAACCTTTTAAAACCGGAACGCAGTAAAGCTCACATTATTGCTTGGTGGCAGAAATAGGTAATGTGGCAGTATTTCCCAGGACGTACTCACAAGGAGCTCTACTGCTACTAATTTATTTCCGTTATGAGTAATTTAGAGTTTTGCTTATAGGTGGGGTAGCCAAATTTTTTGTATTATGTAGGACGTAAGGGTTTGTGTGCTAAAAACTCAGACAGTCAATTCTGATTGGAGAAGTCATGGAAATATAAAATCACAAGTAAGGTGCTTGTAATATTAAAAATGATTTGTAGCGCATTACTAATTGCAATTAGTTAATTATATTTTTTATTTTGTGTACAAAGAAATCGATATTTGTCTTGAGATAATTAAATTAAATTAATATATTTCTCGTTACGATAACCAACTCGACCGTTTTATCATCTCCACAAATGAACGAGGATGAATAAATAATCTGTGTTTTATCGTTACGTTAACAATGGTGTCACTGTGAGTACTGACCTAGGGCAAAAACAGTTCTACATTTAATGCACTTTGTACTTGTCGAGTTTTTAAAATTATCGGAAAGCTCAAGTACGTAATTTGTAATATCTTTTGTGTTAAAAGCTATTAGTTTGTTACGACGAATTGTTAAGTCCGTATCAATTACATCGATATATTTTATAGACAACAGCTACGTTAGAATGAAATGGTTTACTTATCAAACATAAACTAACGTTTATACATCAATAAATTATCTAATTTACGACAATCACTTGTCACTATAATTTGGATACGATTACAGACGTTTCTTAAAATTCTTAATATAATTACAACAGTAATCAATTTAGTAAATGGCTGTTATTTAATTTAATATTCGATTACCGAGTTCTGTGTGTACTAATAAGTTATGCTAATGCTGCATTGTGGTTCAATAAGTTCAACAACAAATTACGTCTTGTTTAAAATATTTAAGTTTGGTTTTTCTATGATTAATTTAAAAAAATCTCTCATGTATTGTTTTTCTATCCTTCCTTTTTTACCGCCTCGAGTAGTTAAAAGATATACAGTAACTATTACAAATACTTTACACATATTATGTAATTGTAAACAACTGGAAGTATCAAAATAATGAATGAAAGATAAACACTGGAGTTCACTAACCTTCTTACAGCGCGCCAAAGCGATGATAGTGATCAAGTTCCCCGGGATACCCACCAACATGAACAGCACACAGGACACAGAAGCAAATCGCAGAAGACCTTCAGAATAATGTTTGAACAGTTGCACATTTGCCAAATCCTGGTCCGTAGTGAAGTCATCTAGAGACACGTTTAGCCCATGAGGCGTGCTCCCCGGTAAACTAGGCAGAAGGTCCGCCATTTTAACCTTTCACACATATTATTCTTAGTCCCATTGCCGATCGTCCATTGCTTTCGGAGGACGTGTTTCCAGTTCGTGATAATGAGTGATACTAAACAGTTTGAGTAAGAGTGTGTTCTGATAAGGCATTTCGATGGATCGGACCGCAGCTGGTCAGGAAACGCTCCGTATCGCTCTGTGACGTATCTGTAAAGATATATGCTTTAGTTATTTAGGGTGCATGATGAGATAGGGTGACAATTAATGCACCATTTAATTGCGACATTCTATAATTGCATGAGCACAGTAAGGTAAATGTATGAATCTTTAACAATGTGTTTAACATTTTTTTTTTGATAAATAAGAAAATAGATATTGATATAACTACAAAACCGTGTTAAATGTACTAGTAATGGCATATATGAATTCCGTTTAAAAGCTTTCATCGAATCACTCAATATTTTTTCCATGTTGCGACTGTTTTTGCGAACAGGTGATCCGATTTGAATGTGCGTTGGTGTTCTTGCAAAAATCTTTAAGACTTTGAGTAGTTTGAGTGCATTTATTAGTCGGAATTTTGTTAATTATCGGTAAGTGTTTATTAAAACTATTAGATAACTGTACAAACAATTTTTTTTGTTTGTATTTATCGATGTATGTCGTTTATATTTTATTTTTGAGGCATGTCAAATACTGGTGCAAAATTAATTTCAACGTTTAGTAGTAGTTGACACCCATGCCAAGCACGCGTACAAATGAATATTTTTTAAGATTTAATTTCGATATTTGGTAAGGACGGATAACGTAGGTTTGGATTACTCTGTTAGTGGCAAGTTTCTATGGGTAGTTTGAGTAGTGTTTGACATGGGTGTCAAAGATTGTTTTGCTATGGGAACCCAATGCTTGACAGTCGTATGTTGAGGTGTCAAACACTAGGACGTAACGAGTGTCAACTATTAGCTACAGGTATTGTGCGATGAGAAAATGCCGCCTAGGGTGTTACATTATTCGGAAGATGATGTATTAAAGGCAACTGATGAAGTGTCTAGAGGAATTCCTATCTATCGCTGCAAGGTGAAAATATTTTTTATGTTATTTAAACCCATACAAGTTATCATTATGTGACATTCAAGTTTCACTTGTCCTGTCAAATACTGGTATTCTGAATTTTATAGTTTCTAGAAGATAAATGACAAACCGTTTAATATGTGTATATTCCTAGGTAGTCAGTATGACTGATAAACAAGTATTTTTTTGGCAAAACCACTGGGACCTTATGCATAAATCTTAAATACCATCTTTTGTTTTTATGATTAAAGAAATTCAGAAATAGAATATGAGGTTCTTGTTTATATTGGTGCGTACAAAGTTTCGTAACATTTCGAAGAAAATACACTTTAGTCCATTTCGTAAATAGTTTTGAGCAAGTGCGCTTTTGTAATGTGGGAGGAAGGAAGTGAGCGTTCGTAGTGTTTTATTGTACAGTAAAATATTATATAACGTAAATGACGTGTTTTATTGCTATGAACCATTGTCTGTACGATGCCATAAATGTTAGTATTGTGATTATTTTCTGTCATCTATATTAATACTTAATTGTTATTTATCTTGTGAGACATAAAGTGAATTAAGGCAACTACACGGCACTGGTGGTGCTGTCATTCTGTAATAGGTAAAGAGCTGGAAATAATTTTCGTCAATTTAAGAATAGTAAATTTCGAGTTCTTAGGTTTTCGCGATTGTCACACATAGGAAATGAAACTATTTTTTCGGATGTGAATCACGTATATGTGTTTTATCAAACAAACCAACCTTTTGGGCCCTTTACAGGTCTCATGGTCACGGCTGACTGCGATGATAGAGTCATCAACCAGTTATGTCTAAAATTAATGAAAGCACTCTATTTTTCACTGTAGTTACAAAAATCATTAATGAGAACACCTTATTTTAATTTTTCAACATTTTACAAAATGTTGTATTTTATTTTAACGATACGAATTTTTACCAAATCAAATTTATTAATTTAAAAGAAAATTAGAAATAAAACATACTAAATATGTTTAATATCGTTTTGCCTTTGATTGTGGCAAAAAGAAAACCGATTTCTAAATGCCAAATAAAATTACATCTTTACGAGTATATTCAGAAATTGAAATCTCTTTTTGATGGATCAAGTTACTAGACGAACAAGTCGAGCGCCTGATGGCAAGTACACGCCTGTTCATAACAGTTGCAGCGCCACTAAGAGCTTTAATTCTTAAAGATCTGAGGGGCGCTGCCACTGCGCCTGTCACCCTGAAGTATAAGTTTACAAGTCCTGTGTGCCTGTAATTTCACCAGCGCCCTTACCCTTCAAAACGGGTACACAGTAATGCTGGCATTACTGCTTGAACATTGTGATGAACTCTTTCACAAGGAGTTCTACTGCTGCTAATCTGTTTCACAGTAACGTCTAACCTCAAAGAATTATACATCAAATGTCCACATTTGCGTAGAGATCTCCATATTTCAATCCTTGAATCCTATATCTCACTATGATAGATGCTAACCCGATGAGTGTCGCCCTGTCGCCTTTCGCCGCTCCGATGCTTATCTCGTCTTTCACTAAGATGGTTGATTAATTGATTGCGGACGACGGTTGGCGTCTAAATGGTTAGGAAACGTGACAGTGACCCGAACAGTGTAAGAGCGTTTTAAGAATTGCGTCCTACGTAACACTGACTGATAGTGAGTAATTACTTATATGTTGCTAGGTGCGACTGTAGTTATTTTGATTTTCGAAACTGCATTGCTTCATCTAAATTAACTTGTACGTTTATATTTGTATTGAATGGATATTCAATATTTTTTTGTAAAATTACTCCACTAGTGGTGTTTAGTCTGGTTCGTTCCGTAGCGTAGTTGGCTTAGCGTCTGGCACGGTTTGCTAGAGGACGTCGGCGTGGGTTCGAATCCGGCCGGTTCGAAGCGAATCTTTGTATTTATAATTTTATCAAACTAGTGGATTAATTTCACAAAAAATAATTGAATATCAATTCAATACAAATTTAAATACAGTTAATAGCGACATCTATAGCCAGGGCCGGTAGCTGTAAACTTATCTAACTGGGTGACGAAATACGTTCATAGATTTCTCATAGATAATAATAATAACAACGCACACATTCAACATAGCCCCGCACTACGGACACCCTGTGTCGCGGGTACCATGGACACACATATAGACAACCACAAATTACACCCAAACACACGAGAGAAACAAATGTAGGCCATACAAACATTTCTCCCGGCCCGGGAATCGAACCTGGGACCTCTGCGTGACAGTCCGGCATGGCAACCATTCAGCCATGGAGGCAGTTAAGATGGCGCTACGGTTAAACAGTCGTCGAAAACCAAATACAAAGATCTGATAACAAGCACATAAAAAACTTCGTGAGGTCCGCTGGTTCGTTCCGTGGCTTAGTTGGCATAGCGTCTGACACGGTTTGTTGGAGAACGTCGGTTCGAATCCAGCCGGATCGAATTAATTTTTTCTAAGTATTCTTTGTTTCTTATCTTTGTATTAATAATTATAATAAATTCTACGTTTTTAACGATACTAAGTGCAGGAACGAATAAGTCAGTGTAGTAAGTGTGCCAAGTGTCAAGGGACACGCCTGTCCATAACAGTTGCAGTGCCACTCAGAGCTTTCAATCGAAAAGATCTGAGGGACACCTGCCACTGCGCCTGTCACTCTCAGACAAAAATAAACAAGTCTCATAAGCGTGTAATTTCACCAGCACCTTTCAAAACCGGAACGCAGTAATGTTTACATTACTGATTGGTGGACTGGTGGTAGAAATAAGTAAAGTGGCAGTACTTCTCTAGACGAAAAGCTAGCTTTTTTGTAGTTTTCGGGTGACTCTCGGATTGGTATCGTCGCCCGTTCGAGTGGGCACTAAGAAGGGATTAAGAAAACGTAAAAATGTTTCATTGTTTACAGTCCTTCATAAAACTGATATTAGGGTTCCTAATAATTATCAGATATGGTAGACTGATAACTTGAGAACAATCTTCACTGTAAACAAACAATCAAAAATATAATTACCAACACTACAAATTACTCAAACACATAACACGCACACACACACGTACATTTCTTTTTTAAATACCATTCTATCTTATTAAACTAATCCACTGATTTGTTACAAATTCTCAGTTTTAAGCTTTGAGCAGTTGCAAGGCGATCCCAACACAAGCATAGCATTTGGTTAACGGGAGGACCTGATCCGCCATTGTTGAACCAAATTAAGAAATAAATTAATAATTTTTAATTTCTTTTTAATTAGTCCCTTTTCATTACTTTATTATTATTAGTTGTGGAAACCTAGGTTGATGACCTATTGCGACACAGATGGATGAGGCTGTTACCCTCAATTGTTACATTTTGTCCCCAACGTCTGTCCAGAACAATGTTATAAAATTCTCAGTAGAACCTTACTCTATTATTAAAGTAACTCTAAATTTTAATAAATCCAATGCGTCGGATAAAATAATTGAATTCTACAAAAAGCTTCTACGTGGGTTTTGCTCTCAAGTCTCAATTACATCCTAATAATGAGATTTTGAAAACTGAGAATCGAGTTATCGAGTTCTTAGGTTTTCGCGATTGTTACACATAACAAATGAAACTCATGGGACCCGAAACGTCGGTTTGTTTGAATAAATAAATATACGAGATTTAGATCCGAAAAAATAGTTTGATTTCCTATGAGAATCGAGTTTTTACGCAAACATGTAATTTATTCTCGAGTTACATGGACTTTTATAGTTTGCAAAGACAATGACTGGAAATACTAATGTAAAATACGGGCAATATTCGATCGATGAAACTTTTTCGTAACAAAATTGAAATAGATTGCCGTAATATTATTGTAATTATTACATTATATTAGCAGCAGTAGAGTTCGTTGGGAAAGAGTTTGTCCAGGGAAGTGCTGCCACCTTACCTATTTCTGCCGCCACACAGTAATATTAGCATTACTGCGTTCCGGTTTTCAAAGGTTAGGGTGCTGGTGAAATTACAGGACTTACGTGACGGGCGTAGTGGCAATGCCCCTCAGATCTTTGAGATTTAAAGCTCTGAGTGGCACTGCAACTGTTATGGACAGGCGTGTCGTTTATCATCAGGCGCATGACTTCTTCGTCCCATCACTTAGCATCATAAAAAAAGTCATTGGTTTCTCCATGAAATTATTCTCTTATTTTTTACACCTGTATACAGGA